TATAGTTATGTATATATTGATAGTTATGTATATATATAATTATGTATATATATATAATTATGTATATATATAATTATGTATATATATAATTATGTATATATTGATAGTTATGTATATATATATAATTATGTATATATATATAGTTATGTATATATATATATATGTATATATTGTTCAGAAAAGAACGAAAACTATCAATTAAATTGAATGAACTTAATCTGATAGCGATGGACCAGACGTTTTTCAACCGTGCATGAATCTGTATGAATATCTGCGAACAGATTTTACAGAATTTGGCTGATAGAGCAACGAGGCGATTCTTGTTGAAAAATCATCAGTCTTGTTTCGTACAAGACATCGAATTGATTCCACATGTTTGCGTCGGACCATTTTGATGCGAGCGTGCACAGGATTCTCCCACAGACAGTGCCGATCGGCACGTTCGCATCTCCTTCGCAGCTCAGGTGGAGGCGCAACATACCGATAGGAGATCCATGGAGATCCATGGAGAAAACTATCAGGTACGGTATATTCTCCAGAAAATTGTTGAAGTGGCAGGACCACAGATAACTTTTGGACAAAAGTGATGCTGAAGTGCAGAAACTATGGCCAGGCAGTGCCGCTGACCGGTGGACGGCGACCGTCAAGGGATCGAATCCCCACCCCATTCTTCAAGGACAGGTGAGCTGAGCATCCCAAGAACGTCATCCAATTTGTTCAACATTCTCAAGGATGAGATCCTCTTCACTTCCACTGACATGACAACCAAGAGTTTTAGATGGATGGTGAGAGATCCGAATCGGTGATCCCACGACCGCCGGAGTGGCAAGGAAGTTCGGGGCAAGCATTTTTGAGATTTAGCTTTGCAATTTTTGTTCCTGGTTTATTGGTATCATTCTGGATAATCCACTAAGTTTTGCACCTTGACGTGTCGTTGCCAGGAACAGTTGCCCGTTGAGGAAAGGGCAGTGCAGTTCAACGATGGCGACGAGGTTTCCCGGCTTGAAGCTTCGGGACTGTTCCTGCACCAATTCGCATCATTTCTCTTCCATCTGTTCATATCCGTTTCATCACACAGTCATCACTTCAGTTTCCAACGGTTCAAACGGTTCCAAAGGTTCCAAAGGTTCCTAAGCAGTTGACATTGTTGCGACTGTGCCAGTGCCAGGTTGGACATCATCCATCATTCGGTGGTAGCGAGGCCCTGCTGAGAGTTGTCATTGACTACATTTGCCATTGCTGTGTTGGAGCCCAAACCTCTGAAATGAGGATTTCTTGTTGGGACATTGTGGGGCCCATAATTTCGTCATGTTTCGTCTCAATGTTTGAAGGCAAGAATTTGCGTAGGAGCTCAAAGTCACTTGAAGAATACAAATTGTGTCAAGTTCAGTGTGCCACGGAGCATCATGGAGCATTCCTTTCAGCCGACAGGAAATCGAGACCGAAGTCCCTGCAGACAGCACGATGCGGCGAAGCCGCGACAGGACATCAGTGCATATCCGTGAATTCACTGATGCAGCCGCAGCAATCCATAGCAATCCCTTTCCTCCGTTCATATTAAAGACCCCCATTCTATGGTCCCAAAGATGTGCAAATCCCCCTACTGAAGCACGGTTTCTGGATGTTTATGCCATAAACACATTAGGTGGAATGGATTAATGTGTTCAGTGCCCTTGTAGAAACACCACCGAAAAAAAGCGAGGATTGCAACGCCTCACGTGCGCTTAGACTTCATGGAGGACGCAGGGTGAAAAGAGTTGTTGACATCTTGTCATGAACCCAGCACATGAATGGATAACCACAAGCCATTATAATCCAGTGCGTTCATAAATGTTACATTGTATATCATGTTATTTTTAATGAATACTATGAAAAGCCATTAACTATATTTCATTGTGTTTTACTATTACTTACCATTCGTTTTTTTATGAAATGGATCCTTCCAATATCTCCATAGAATGGTCGGTATTGTATTATCATTAATTATATATTATTATATATTATACTTTTTCTGTCTATATGTTTATTGGATAATTGTATACAATTGTATATGATTATAGGTAGTTATACTTATATAATTATCCCCATGATATTCCAATGGTATCTCCATAGTTTGTTTCTCCGAACCTTACTCCACAGGAACCCGCGAGCGAAGAGACCAAGCATGTCCGTATCTCCAATGCTGCAGACATAGAGGTGCGACAGGGCAGCATGAATTCGGAAGTTTCTTGGGATAATCGGAACCATAATATAATTTGATACAGTATATTCAGCATATTATCGTGTGTATATATATGGTATATATGGTATATATTGTATATATGGTATATGCATATATATATATATATGTGATAGCAGCAGTGTCCGGAGAGCTTTCTCGAAGAGCCACCCTTCATGGGGAATCCAAGCCGTGGCCCTGACACTCGACCCTCCTTTGGAGCTGTAGAGGTGGGAGAAGAGCTGTGTGTCACTGGATAATGGAAACAAAGATTGTATACAGGGACTGTCCAATCACATCAAGTCTTGGAAAAGGGCCAATTTCTTTGCTGAGTTGCGGATCGTAGATGAGGGTAGCAAGTACGCAACTTGTGCGCCAGGAAATTCAGACGGAGATTGCGCCGGATCATCATCTTCGCGCCAGCCGCGAGAGGTGCCGGGGTCATTGAAAAGTGGGCCACAGATCACTTCAGACCATAGTGGACAGCGAACGTGGATGCGGAAAAAAGTTCAAAAGTGTATGACGTATGACAAGAAATAACATTATGCATGTATTGTGTTTGTATTGATCTACATTACCGCCGGCCTTTTTTCTATGGCCGCAAAAAGGGATGTTGCAGCTGCAGCGGTGACAGTGCCAGGATGCCAACGCCTCACGTCAGGATGGACCTCATTGAGGCAACCAGCCAGGCATGGTGTGAAAAGTGGTGTGCCATTGGATGCCAAAATTGTGTCGTACCATGTGGTATCATGAATTTGTATCATATGTACTGTATATATACTCATATATATAATATTATGTGTGTATATATATATTGTACAGAAAAGAACGAAAACTATTATTAAATTGAATGAACTTAATCTGACAGCGATGGATATGACTCTTTTCAACCGTGCATGAATCTGTATGAATATCTGCGAACAGATTTTACAGAATTTGGCTGATAGAGCAACGAGGCGATTCTTGTTGAAAAATCATCAGTCTTGTTTCGTACAAGACATCGAATTGATTCCACATGTTTGCGTCGGACCATTTTGATGCGAGCGTGCACAGGATTCTCCCACAGACAGTGCCGATCGGCACGTTCGCATCTCCTTCGCAGCTCAGGTGGAGGCGCAACATACCGATAGGAGATCCATGGAGATCCATGGAGAAAACTATCAGGTACGGTATATTCTCCAGAAAATTGTTGAAGTGGCAGGACCACAGATAACTTTTGGACAAAAGTGATGCTGAAGTGCAGAAACTATGGCCAGGCAGTGCCGCTGACCGGTGGACGGCGACCGTCAAGGGATCGAATCCCCACCCCATTCTTCAAGGACAGGTGAGCTGAGCATCCCAAGAACGTCATCCAATTTGTTCAACATTCTCAAGGATGAGATCCTCTTCACTTCCACTGACATGACAACCAAGAGTTTTAGATGGATGGTGAGAGATCCGAATCGGTGATCCCACGACCGCCGGAGTGGCAAGGAAGTTCGGGGCAAGCATTTTTGAGATTTAGCTTTGCATTTTTTCTTCCTGGTTTATTGGTATCATTCGGGCTCCATTTGGATCCATCTGGATAATCCACTAAGTTTTGCACCTTGACGTGTCGTTGCCAGGAACAGTTGCCCGTTGAGGAAAGGGCAGTGCAGTTCAACGATGGCGACGGGGTTTCCCGGCTTGAAGCTTCGGTACTGTTTCTGCACCAATTCGCACCATTTCTCTTCCATCTGTTCATATCCGTTTCATCACACAGTCATCACTTCAGTTTCCAGCGGTTCAAACGCTTCCAAAGGTTCCAAAGGTTCCCAACGCAGTTGACATTGTTGCGACTGTGCCAGTGCCAGGTTGGACATCATGCATCATTCGGTGGTAGCGAGGCCCTGCTGAGAGTTGTCACTGACTACATTTGCCACTGCTGTGTTGGAGCCCAAACCTCTGAAATGAGGATTTCTTGTTGGGACATTGTGGGGCCCATAATTTCGCCATGTTTCGTCTCAATGTTTGAAGGCAAGAATTTGCGTAGGAGCTCAAAGTCACTTGAAGAATACAAATTGTGTCAAGTTCAGTGTGCCCGTCATGGAAGTTGGTTTGTGTTGTGTTGGCAGTTGCCCTTCAAAGATGCGAAAGCAGACACCGAATGATAGGATGCCATGCTGAACTGAGCCGTTCAAGATAGCTTAGATATAGTTTGGGGCACTACAAGATATTTTCCATCAGCGTAATCAAGACAAGCCGAATGAAGCCGGTTTGTGCCATGGAGCATCATGGAGCATTCCTTTCAGCCGATAGGAAATCGAGACCGAAGTCCCTGCAGACAGCACGATGCTGCGAAGTCGCGACAGGACATCAGTGCATATCCGTGAATTCACTGATGCAGCCGCAGCAATCCATAGCAATCCCTTTCCTCCGTTCATATTAAAGACCCCCATTCTATGGTTCCAAAGATTTGCAAATCCCCCTACTAAAGCATGGTTTCTTGATGTTTATGGGGGGTATAATATTAGTAGTGGAATGGGATTAATGTGTTCAGTGCCCTTGTAGAAGCACCAACGAAAAAAATCGCAAGGATTGCAACGCCTCACGTGCGCTTAGACTTCATGGAGGACACGGGGTGAAAAGAGTCGTTTAAAGTGAACCGAGGAGATGAATGGATTAATACAATCCATTACACTTATATTACATCATACAAGTAGAACCCGCGCAAGGCGGGTGGCGGAAGTTTCCAGGCTTAAGAAGTGTAACGCTATAGGATCCAAAAACAAGGTTTGCCTATAGGAGCTGCGGCAGACTTCCATGCTCTTTTCCGGGACTTCTGACCTCTTCTTGCAAATTGTGAAACCACATCTCAACTGTTCCAACGACTTCTCACCTCTCGCCATCTCTTTTCAACGACTCTCATTTCTGTGCACATCTTGACTCTCCTCAACTCTCTATTCATCTCTCTCTTCATCTCTCTCTTCTCCTCACAACGCCTTTGAACTCGTGTTGACTCACCTCACCTCAGTTCCACCTGTCCATTTTCTTCTCAGCCCAGTTGGAGCGACACAGTTGCAAACTTTCTTGTTCAGGCCAGTTGAATTGCCGTTCCATTCGACCATGGTTTTCAACATTCGATTGTGTTATCATTCTTGTGTCATGCACTATCATTCAATCCTACTGGGCTGTTGACTGTTACCTGTGGGTCCAACGTTCAAGCACGCTTGGGCCGCAGCATTTTTTCCACGCGCGCGAAGAGCTGTGACGTCACGAGCAGCCATTTGTCAAGAGCACGCGTGAGCAACACAGCCGCACGCGTCTTTGAGTCCTGCTGCCTGAAAGGCCAAACGAACAAGACAACGCAAGCAGCACGGCTGTGCACGCCACCAGAATGCAGCGAGGCGTGGCAAACACAGGCAGCACAGCCGTGCACTCTTCTTCCCTGCCTCTTTCTGCTACACTTCCAAAGTGTCGCCATCGCAATCCAGCTTGCGCAAGGTCTCCGGCAAGGTGACGTCGACCGGAACGTTGAGAAACGGGCGCTTGATATTCACTTCCTCCAGGTACGGCGGCCAAAAGAGCGGATGTCGTTCCAACGCGAAGCATTCGCCAAGGGTGAGGCACAACAATGATTGCGGTACCACAAATCTTGTTGGAAAAACCGCCCCAACACGAGGGTTTCGAGTTGGTCTAGTAGATTCGCAGTAGCCAGGAAGTGACGATTGAACCAAAATGCAAAATCCGCACCCAAAAGCAGCACCCATATGCAGAACAGCTGCACGCTCCCCAATGCATACCTGACAGCCAGATCACGTCTATGCAGTTTTCGAACAAACAGGCCGCTTAAACATGCCAACATGAGCGTGAGCAGAACAGCTGCACGCTCCCCTCTGAATACCTTACAGCCAGATCACATCTATGCAGGTAGCAGAACCGCTGCACGCTCCCTGCCCTGGCAGCCAGATCCCGTCTATGCAGATTTCGAGCAGACATGCCACTTAAACATGCCAACATGGGCGTGAGCAGACATGTATGCAGATTTGGAACAAACATGCCACTTAAACATGCCAAAATGAGCGTGAGCGGAACAGCTGCACGCTCCCTGCTGCATACCTGACAGCCAGATCACGTCTTTGCAGTTTTCGAACAAACAGGCCGCTTAAACATGCCAACATGAGCGTGAGCAGAACAACTGCACGCTCCCCTCTGAATACCTTACAGCCAGATCACATCTATGCAGGTTTCGAGCAAACATGCCAAAATGAGCGTGGGCAGAACAGCTGCACGCTCCCCGCCCTGACAGCCAGATCCCGTCTATGCAGGTTTCGAGCAGACATGCCACTTTAACATGCCAACATGGGCGTGAGCAGAACAGCTTCACGCTCCCCGCTGAATACCTGACAGCCAGATCACATCTATGCAGATTTGGAACAAACATGCCACTTAAACATGCCAAAATGAGCATGAGCAGAACAGCTGCACGCTCCCCGCTGAACACCTGACAGCCAGATCACGTCTATGCAGGTTTCGAGCAAACATGCCACTTAAACATGCCAACATGAGCGTGAGCAGAACAGCTGCACGCTCCCCGCCCTGACAGCCAGATCACGTCTATGAAGGTTTGGAACAAACATGCCACTTAAACGTGCCAACATGGGCGTGAGCAGAACAGCTGCACACTCCCTGCCCTGACAGCCAGATCACGCGCACTGCGATCTGGAGAGACTGAGTTGCACAACACAATAAAGTTACGCACACCGGCTACACAATAAAATCACGCACAGCGGCTACACAAATAGCAACTCCCAAACCGGATCTCGACGCCCAAGCGGAAAAACGACGACTATGAAGCACTTTTGAAAAGGAATTTTAAAAGGAAAATCATCAGCGCCAAAATGACAAAAAAATCTGCTACCAAAGCGCCATTCGCAACTTTCATGCTGCCATGACATCTCTCAGCTGCAAAACACACTAGTATTACGCACGCAGCCGTAGCAGCGAGGAACCTTGACGCAGCCATTCACTGCGATCTGCGGAGACTGAGGTGCACAACACAATAAAATCACGCACAGCGGCTACACAAATTGCAACTCCCAAACCGGATCTCGACGCCCAAGCGAAAAAACGACGATTTTGAGGCACGCTTTGAAAAAAAAATTGAAAGGAAAATCATCAGCGCCAAAATGGAGAAAAACTTGCTGCCAAAGCACCAGTCGCGACTTTCTCGCAATTACTACAATATGATTTACGTCAGGGACTTGCAAACCACAATCAGAATCGCAAGACAGTACTGGAGAACAAGTACGCTTCGAGAAGCCTTGACGCAGCCATTCCACTGCGATCTGCACAGACTGAATTGCACAACACAATAGAATTGCAACACACTACTGTAGAACACATCGCTTTGATGCACCAGTTCCACTGCACAAAGTATCTGAACACATGAAAAAAACAATAGCACAGCATCACCAAAAAAGAGAAAAACACACCTGCAACCCTCAGTTCCAACGCGCGCGCAAATCGAATAGGAATCGACGGCAAAGCGATGACGCCGGCAACCGTTGCGCATGTGAGCCAACTTTTCTCCGCAACGGAAACTCTGTTTACCCTAAAAGACACAATGTTTCGTGCAAATTCTAGCATTCAAATCGCATCCATGATGTAGCAGTTCCAATGCGATCTGCCGAGAATGACTTGCAAAAGACAGTCAGAATCGCAAGACAGTACTGGAGAACAAGTACCCGTCGAGAAGCTTTGGCGCAGCCATTCCACTGCGATCTGCACAGACTGAATTGCACAACACAATAGAATTGCAACACACTACTGTAGAACACATCGCTTTGATGCACCAGTTCCACTGCACAAAGTATCTGAACACATGAAAAAAACAATAGCACAGCATCACCAAAAAAGAGAAAAACACACCTGCAACCCTCAGTTCCAACGCGCGCGCAAATCGAATAGGAATCGACGGCAAAGCGATGACGCCGGCAACCGTTGCGCATGTGAGCCAACTTTTCTCCGCAACGGAAACTCTGTTTACCCTAAAAGACACAATGTTTCGTGCAAATTCTAGCATTCAAATCGCATCCATGATGTAGCAGTTCCAATGCGATCTGCCGAGAATGACTTGCAAAAGACAGTCAGAATCGCAAGACAGTACTGGAGAACAAGTACCCGTCGAGAAGCTTTGGCGCAGCCATTCCACTGCGATCTGCACAGACTGAATTGCACAACACAATAGAATTGCAACACACTACTGTAGAACACATCGCTTTGATGCACCAGTTCCAATGCACAAAGGATCTCAGCACATGCAAACCACAGTAGCACAGCATCAATTAAAGGACCGGATAACCCCACATGTCAACTTCTTCCAACAAGCAGCAAAAGAAAGGTAAAGATGGCATGTGGAAAGTAGGAAAGAGAAAAGAGATGGTGAAGGATTGGGGTGGAGTAAGTTGTGTGTGGAAGAGTAAGTGTGAGTAAGTTGTGTGGTGATGAGTTGTGTGTGAGGTGTGTGTGTGTGCGTGTGTGTATGTGTGCCAAAGCCGGCCCAGTGCCATAAGTGCCATGCCTGCCACGCAAAGTGAAGGTGGATGTCACCAAGTACCACGCCTGCTACGCAAAATGACGATCGATGTCGCCAAGTGCCACGCCTGCCACGCCAAAAGAGTCGCGGCGCCCAGCGTCACACCTAAAACCAAGCACGCCACGAAAGCCAGCCCAATGCCATACGCGCCACGCCTGCCACACAAAGTGGCAGTCGATGTCACCAAGTACCACGCCTGCCACGCAAAGTGAAGATAGATGTCACCAAGTGCCACGCCTGCCACGCCAAAAGGGCCGCGGCGCCCAGCGTCACACCTAAAACCAAGCGCGCCACCAAAGCCTGCCCAGTGCCATAAGTGCCACGCCTGCCACACAAAGTGAAGGTGGATGTCACCAAGTACCACGCCTGCCACGCAAAATGACGATCGATGTCGCCAAGTGCCACGCCTGCCACACAAAGCGGCAGTCGATGTCACCAAGTGCCACGCCTGCCACGCAAAGTGAAGATAGATATCGCCAGCTCCAATGCCATAATGCCATAAGTGCCACGCCTGGACAAGTTATGTGATGACAAGTCAAGTGGTGTGATGACAAGTTGTGTGAGGACATTATCAGGACAAGTTGTGTGCGAGCAAGTCAAGTTGTGTGAGGACATGTGTCAGGACAAGTTGTGTGAGAACATTATCAGGACAAGTTGTGGTGCGAGCAAGTGGTGTGATAACAAGTTGTGTGTGGACAAGTTGTGTGATAACAAGTTGTGTGGTGGCAAGTTGTGCGTGAGCAAGTGGTGTGAGGACAAGTTGTGTGTGGACAAGTTGTGTGTGGGGAAGTTGTGTGTGGACAAGTTGTGTGGGCAAGGTGTGTGAGGACAAGTGGTGTGATGACAAGTTGTGTATGTGAGTACGTTGTGTATGGAGGCGGACGACGGGAGGCGGACGGCGGCGGGATACAGAATCAAAAACAAGAACCCCACACAAAGATGTGGGGAACAAAAAAGAGAAAAAGTCACCTGCAACCCCTCAGTTCCAACGCGCGCGCAGATCGAGCCGGATTCGGCGGCAAGGCGGCGACGTCC